CTTTGATTCCCTCCTAATTTAGATATTATTATATCCATAGTGCAGGGATATCTATCACAGTCTTTTAAGGTAGCTGTTAAACCTTCTCTTGATCAAGATGACTTAATAGGTCATGGAAAATACCTGCCACCGAGTTGTGAGTTCAAAACCCATTCCAACAGACTGCCACTCTGGCTCTCTGAGCAAGACCCTTAACCCAACCCTGCTCTCCCGGCACCGTGCGATGGCAGCCAACTACTCCCCAAAGGGATGGGTTAAATGCAGAGAGTTCATTTTGTTGCTCAGTACTTGTTTTACTATAAATCACAGCGTAATGACAAAAGCTGGAAAAAAATATTCTCATATTTGCTCTGTAGGATCTCAGTGGCTCATATAATGCTGTCAGTCACTTACTGTTCAAGCAAGATGAATTGCTGTCAGGATTGTGAATTCATTCCTGAAAATGCATCTTGCCTGGATCCAGCAAATGCATTCGCCTCGATACACAAAAGTTTAGGACCAATGAACTGCAGTGACGTTTATGACTAAAAAGTGTCAACCAGAGGTGGAAGGCTGAAGCAAAACAAAGATGGCTGTAGCAGTTTTAGCTGAAATACCCTCTGTTTTGAAAAAGGACATGATTTTTGCCTTTGTGAATTGGAAGCTGTTTGCACGTTCTCCCCAAGCGGATTTAGTAAGAGTTTTATTTAGACTTAGACTCAACTTTATTAATCCCTTGGGATTACTTCTTCAGGGAAATTCTGGTTCCAGTAGCTTATATAGAATACAAAGGGCAGAGTTAAAGCAAGATGCCATTAAAGATGAAAATACCGCAGACACTAAAAAAAAGTGTGTATATAAAACAAAAGAATATAAGAAAGTTGTAATGTCTTGGAATATGTTTCCCTTAGATATAAAAATATCTACACAGTAGAACGCTAAAGAAAGACTACAAAGTAGTTGACTTAGATAAATGCACTTTCACTGCAGAAACATACTGACCATATATATGAGTAAAAATTAGACAGACTTCACAGTATTTGGCCTTGTTTATTGCACTTGTACTGCAGAGATGTACTGACCTTATGAATAAATAATTCTGATCAGTTCATTAGTTATCAGTTAACTCAGCTAGTTGTGAAACTAATCAAGCTGCTACTCCTTCTGTGATTGGCTAAAGAGTCGACATGGGAGGCAGGCACCCAGTCAACTCATAGAATTGTACTGAATGTCATTTGGCAAACTTTCTACAGGAGCCTTTCCAGATCTATACGTGTAGTTCAGTTTGAATTCTACATGGTGTCACTCTGGTTTATGCCAGGTTAGTCAGTCACAGTACTGTACAAAAGAACTTGAATGTTCTATATGAGTAAATGGAGATTTGTTTTAATCTTTTCCAAACTCTTCTCTCACTGAGACCACACTCTCTTCTCACCAGCTCACAAACAAGGCAGCACCGAAAATCTCCCTGTGTCTAAGCGGGGGAGTTTTGTATGTTATCTGGAAGGGCGACTGCTGAAGACAGTACAGGGGATTGTAAAACTTAATCTAATAAAGCTAGACTTGGTTAACTCTGCACAAGACCAGATGCGTCACTGCAGATCCGTTCTGCACATGCGCCATCAGCTCATTTGCACATGCGCATCCAGTTATACATCCAGGTTTTATTTTGTTAAAAAGATCTAAATGACGTTTTTCCATCCCCCAAAATTGTAAGCATACTAAATATAATGTGTTTAAGGTCAATATTGTATTTTGTGAGAAAATAAATGCCTTACAATCCTTTCTATTTTACCACTCGTCTCTGCCCGATCTGACATGGGATCATACGCTACTTCCGGGAGAGAGCTTTTTTGGCTTTGGATTTAAGCATAAATCTAGTCTTTTTGAATTTTATGTTTTCCGTCCGTGTTAAAATTATAGTATATAGCGTGTAATCTAAACACAGAAACAACTAAAATGCAGATAAACCTGGTTTAATTATATTTGGCCAGACTACTCTGAGCATGTCCAATGATGACGTCAGAGAAGCAGTTTAACGAAGAAAATGTAAAAAGCATCAAATTTGTCTCACAAAAGTCATAAAACATTTTTTAAAGATGTGTATTTGCGTTCTTTAGAGAGTTAGGGATAGAAATAAGTAATTTTACTACCATAAGTGCATTATTTATGAGCACCCAGATGTATATCTGTTTCGCGCATGCGGAGGACGGGATCGTGCTTCGGGGACGGATCCGGTAGTGACAAGATGCATTCCCACTGATCCCAAGCAATACACTCTTTGTCCCCTTTCCATGCAAAATATATTGTATCACTGAATTCAAAATGGTCAAAAGTAGTTTCTTTCTTAAAGTTGTGAAAGCAATCATCCACCTACAGACAGAAACTCTCACCCTATATCACCTTCATATGGAGACAGACCCCTCTTCAGACAAAATCACACACACACACACAAACAAACACCCTGCTGACAATCATTAAACCCCTCGCTGATTTCATACTGTTGGGGCACAGGTTGCCTGAAGCCAATGTCATTCTACACCCTTATCTCAGTAAATAAGCTCCTCTGGTTCTGATTGCTCATTGCTGGTTTCTTCCATTACACTGCTCATGCCCAATCTTGTGTTCCTCTGTTGCTCTTGCTCTAACTTAATGCTATCCTTTGCATTAAAATTTCTATCCTTCTGATCGTGAGCTTGCGTTTGCAGCTTGGTCCAATAGTAAACTGGAATAACATGACGGACATAAATAAACTTTTGAATGAGTTACATTAACTTTAATAAAGACACTTGGGGTTGTCTTCACATCCGTCCTTCTTGTATCAGTATTAACCTCATGCTGTAGAGGGAGGCCAGCGTCTATCCCAAACATTCTGCCAGCGACAGGACGCCTCCTGGATCTGCAGTTCATTACTCTGCTCACATCCATACAAACCGCTTATTATCTATTTGGATTGCTCAGTTATTCCAACCTCCATGTTCGTGAGCTTTATGGAGATCACAAAGCCCCATAAAGTAATATTAATCGAGAGAAAAAAACTACTACAATAAATAACATATACTTGTGTGCTCCTCCTTTTTCCCATGGGGGATTATAAATCAGTTTGTCACACTGCATTTCTCCTGCTTGTTAGGCTCATGATGAGCCAAAAGAACAAAGGTTAGAGGAAGTAAATTAAGCTTAGGGTTAAAGACATCAATGTCACTCTATAATAGCATAAATAAAATCAATGAGCATGTATGTCTGTGTGAGCTCAAACAGGGGCTCCCAGGGTGGGTGGTCTCTCTGTTCTGCAATGCTGGATGTGGACAGAGAAATGAAGCCATAAGTCTTTTCTGCTGACTGCCATGGTTATCCAGCTGGAGTCACACCAAGCCACCAGTAATACATTTTCCTGGAGCCGGGAGCAGAACAGAGCAGAGGGCATCTAATGAACCAGAAATATCTGCCCCCCACTTCATTTCAAAATGTGCCTCTAAATCTTTACGCCAGTCTGCATGTGGATGAAATGAGCAGGAAATAAGTGGCTTCATGGACCATTTATTATCCCCTCATCAGACCTAATATATCTACAACTTTTCTATTTAATTACAATGACCACATGTTTTTAGATTTTTTTTTTTAAAAACCTGTCAACATGGTGATTTATGTGCTTGAAAGTTAGATAAATAAGCAGTCAACACCTTGTCAGAGCTGGTTCCTCCTGTGTATTCAGTCACTCTCTCATAAACAGCCAATTCCAACAGCTTACAATGAATATGAAACTTTAAGCTGGAAATGAGCAGTTTATTCTGATTGCTTTTCACCCTGTAGCAACTTATTATTAGCTACGTATTTGCTATTTAGTATGTAGTCAAAGCAAGTCCTAAAATAACCTAAAATAATGTGAGTCTGCGGTTCAGCTGCTCTTTTTTGCTGTTTCATTCAGCGCTCCGTGTTCCCATTGATTGCATTTACATCATTTTAAATACATGCAAAGCCAGAGCTTTAGCTACTTTGCATGTGCAACCTGGATAACATGTTTTTCAAACAAGGCACGATTTGGGAAATTCTTCCATTATTGACTGCTCCATGGACAGAACAATCAAATTTTTCCTGTGACAATACCTCACTAAAAAAGCTTTTAATGCAGAATAGAAAAGAGTTTTTTTTTTCTGTTTAAACCTGAAAGAAAAATCAAGTTGTTTATCCCTGGTATCCCTTGTTTTTATTTTCATACTTAAGCAAAAAAGCATGCAAAGATGCTGCAAGTGCTTAAAACGTTTTAATTTAATGACCTTATCAGTGAGGAGAACTGAACTATAAAGCTTCCTACCTTTAATTTCCAGCCACAGTCAGTCCATGCACATGTTGAAATGACCTCTTTGAGAAACAAAGAAGTAAAAAGAAATGTTTTCTGTACCAGATAAACTCTGTAGCGGACAAGGTATATCCTCACAGTCTGAGGATATACCTCAGCGTGGATAATTGTTGCATGGTTGAGTTGGCAACTTTTAACATTTAAAGTATTTTGAAATGAAGGTGGTGGAAGGCAAATTAAACTTAAAATATTCAATGTCAGAGTCTGCACTTATATGCAACAATGTCATAAGAACTTTTTTTTTTCTGTTGAATTATTCATGCTAATAGGTGAATTATACAAGAAAGATTAAAAAAATATATATTTCCTGGTTCTAGCTGCTGGTCCAAAAAAACCAACAATTTTCTGTCATGTATTGTATGGGGTGCTGTAGTTTCCTCCCAGAGCTCAAAAATATAACTGTTAGGTTAATTGATTTCTGACCTAAATTGTCCTTGGGTACAGTACAAGTGTGTGTTCCCCTTGCAGTACCTGCATAGCACTTTAATTTGACAGAACTCTACAAATAAAGTTTGATTTTATGATTGCCTACCTGTCCAGGATGTATCCCATTTCTTACCCAATGATGGCTTGAGATAGGAACTAACCTTTCAGGTAACTCTGCAAGGATAATGAGGTAAAGACGATGGAAAAGAATGGATGTATGCACAACTGCACAAAACTGATTTAAAGAAATCTTTAATAAAAGACAAGTGCTATCACCCTTTTTGAGAAGACACAGACTAATAACAAGCATACCATGACAGAGTGTTCACAACATTATTCAAGCAAATTGCATACGTTTGAAAACATTCAAAACACACAGAGACTGCTTTCTATGACTGATTATCCTTCATAAACATCCTACTACAGATTTTTGGCTGTGGTACAGTACACTTTAGCACAGAAAGGGATGTATGATGCAAACATTGTGAAACATAGTACCCCGGTATGTTGCAAAGATCCACTGAGTGAAGATGCAGTCTAAAAGACTGAACCATTGCAACAGGATGTTACATAAACCTCCATGAAAATAGATGGAGAAGAAACAGGAAGACGAGCGAGATAAGGAACAGGGAGGATGTTTGCTGTCAGGGGTGGGCAGGTAAAAAGGAAATGAAATAAGGCAGGAGACACCAGCAAGAAAAGGAGCAAGGAGAGAATGAGTTGTAGAGGTGAGAGAGAGTTGTTAAAGGTTAAAGTGTTCCTTCATCTAGCAGTTTGTTGATGCCATTACAGATCTTCCTCAGAGAGAGTCTGTACTCCTCTCCGTCCCCATACAGCTCAACCAGGAAATCCCCATTGGCGAAATGGTTGAAAACGTGATCAATGCGCGCATGTGAGCGTGCGGTCAGGTGCCCCTCGACCAGGGCGTGAAGCAGGTCCCTGCACTCCAGCAGGAGCTCCGCCAGAATATTCCTGTCAAATGTATAATCCACCTCGTAAAATGACACCGCCGTCATGGCTGCCTGGTTCATCTTCTTCTTGAAACGCTCCACTGTGTCCAACTCGTCAGGATTGAACTGGTGGTTGCGGTACAAGATGCCAATCTTTAGGGCAATCTTGATCACGTCCTTGATGATCTTGTGTGCTTCTTTTTTGCTCTTGGTGAATTCACGACTTGCTTTGTAAAGCTCATCAAGGATCTCACTACTGGTGTCATCTGTAAGCATGTTAGCCACAGCCATGGTCGCCATCTTGCTTAGGATTTTCTTCTGGGCTTGCATGGCCAAGGACCGGGAGTTAAAGCTCTCCTGTCCTGAAGGAAGAGAAAAAAAAGTGAAGTTAATCCAAAGTTTCACAGCAAAATTAACAGACAATGGGAAAAAAACAACATATTGGTGTAATAAAAGGCAATAGTACATGATACAGCCGAGTTCATAAATCTATAAAGTAATTTTCCAGAGCTTGTGGAATACATTCTGTAGGTGCTTGTTGGAACCAGGTGGTAACTTGAACTCTGATTAACAATAGCATTCATCTTATAATAAAGCAATACTTAAAAGATGCTTCTCTTTCCAATAAATTCAATATTTCTGACCCATAAGTTACTTTCTGGAACATTACGGGTATACCTTTGGATATATTTGCTAATGTTCTAGAGTTTGTGTGTATTTCTCTGAAATTTTCAGGCAACTTTTGTAGAATTTTTTCTTACTTTAAGAAATTATAGGATCTATTTTTTTTTTTTTTTTTTTTTTTTTACATAACTTAAAGGTTACTTGTGAGGACTGGGTTATATTAGGGGCTGGTAGCTTTTGGAGGCTATGGGTTACTTTCCAAAATAGAATAAGTACTCTATTTAAAGTAAGGTCCCAAAATCACATGCCCAGAAATAATCATGAAGTCTCGGGGACAGTCAGGATCTCTGTTCCAGAAAACAAAATGTTCCTGAACACAAGTCAAATTATCCTTAGAGCAAAAATGATTAAAAAAACAGCTTTAAAAGAAATCTTCTGGGTTATGGGGAAGTAATTCAGGCATACCCAAAGTTGCTCCTAAAGGGCTGCCCTCCTGCAGGTTTTAGAGGTTTCCCTGCTTTTGCACAGCTGATTCTAATGATTGCAGTTCAGCAAAGCTTCTTAATCAGCGATAAATGAAAATTAGCTGTGCTGAAGCAGGAAAGCCTCTGAAACCTGCAGGACAGTGGCCCTGAGGACCCACTTTGGGCATGCCGGCTGTAAGTTATACAATGGTATACTCAAGGTCAGTACCCTAAATGGTCAAAGAGAATACCCAAAGTACAGTGAAAGTTTGTTCAATGTACTGAAAAGTACTCTGAGAGTAAAAAAAGTATCTTTGTTATATTTTGTGTAATTTGTGGGGTTTAGGAATGCACCCTGTTAGTTCTATGTAGGTAGTCTTAAAATCTGTAAAGTACCCTTTATGCAATATTAAATAACCTACAGGTTTGAGGTTCTACATACATGGACACATGTAAACCACTGACAAGCCCTCATATGTGAAATTACCTTGTAAATTCAGGAAAATGACTGTCCCCGAAAATGTCCTTTGTGTTTAAGAAGGAACATCGTAAGTTCTAGAAAGTATTTCATATTCTTGTCCTTTTCTAATCTTTATAGGACTATCAGTTTAAAACTTAACGCATTTTCTTGAAACCTTAACCCCTAAAACCCTACGGACCCACCGGTGGGTCCAGCTGCTACGTGACCTCGTAATTTTAACAAACCCCCAGTATTGATGTAAAAAACACATTTGGCACAGTTTGGTGACATTTATGGATAAATGTGCCAAAATGGGCCCTCCGCCTAAGAAATTTCTCACTAATACCATTCTAAAATAAATATGATTCATCTGATTGAGTCCAAATTTCGTATATTTTTACACAATATTTAGATTTAAAAGTCTGTACTACTTTTTTGTGCTATAAATAATATTTTGGTAGTGTTTTGCAATGTTTATTTCAAAGAAAATTTTGGCGAGGTTCAAAAAATGCAAAATATTTTGTATTTTGTCCCTAATATTTCAGGCAGAGTCAAAGCTACAATGGTGCTGACACCAGAAAACCATTCTATGACATCTTACCTTTACAGACGTACCAAAAGTTTCTTCTTAAATCTAATAGCTGTGAGGCTATAAGTGATTTACTTTTGTGTGTTTTTGTCAGGCAGAAATTTATTTATACCCCCTCAGGGTGTAAGAGGTTAAACAAAACATATGGTAAATCTTTGTATACAGTACATGTTTGTACTGTGTGGCTTGTGTAATCTCTTTGATCTTTAGTGTGTTTGCATAAAACAGCTGAAATCCATCTGGACTCACTGGCCTTTAAAACTCAGATGACCAATGCAAAAAAAATAAAAAAATCTAGTTTCCAAACATTGCTTAAATTTTCCATTTTCAAGTCCAGATATATATTGCTTTTTCTTATGAAACAATACTAACTTGTATCTATAAATTAACTCTCTTATATTATTGGGACTGGAAGCAGTTATTGTAACTTCAGGAAATATGACCTCAAAACAAAACTATTCTGAATGATCCATTTTTTGCAATGAACAATGGAAAAAATGTCAGATAAACAGCTGTTCACTTCACAGAAAACAAAGCTCCTTTGAATCTAGACAAACTCCCAACACAGAGTATACAAAAAGAGGTGCAGCTGCATTCTGCGGCAGGGCAGTGGCTTTCCTAGCTGGCTGTGGTTTAACACGCTGTCTTTCTGGAGAAATCACCAACAGCTCTGGCTTACATCAAACATCTGTCCTCTGATAAGAGCTATTTTGCGTTCTTTCTTTAACAAGTCCAAAGAAAAGTTCCCAATTTACCCTAACTGCATCCACATTTATGAGACAGGCAAAGATGAAAGCTTCCCTTTCACAATGATGCTGGCACAACGGTAGGTGTAAATTTTAAGAGGGCCACCCAGCTTTAATTTACACACTAGATAACCTATTTTATGATTAAAGGCAAGGAAAGAGGCTTCATTTTTCTCCTGCTCCCCTGCTCTGGGCCCATCACCAACCACCTTATCCTCCTTCACACGTTCCTATAAAGGCTTGAAGAGGAGGAAGCCAAGGGACGTCATTGTTGATTAGGCTCAGACACAGTGAGCCCAAATTCATGGAGGAACATTTGCTTTGCTGTCACTACATTACACTTAAACCAGACAGATATTGGACTATTTTAAATTCACCCCATCATCACCTCATTGGGTTATTTGGTATTGAATTGCAAATCCAGAACAGAGGTTGAAGGGTGCCCCACATCAGGGAGAAACCAAATCCATGGCATTTCACATGAATCTAGAAAAGTGACATTTCATCTGTTGGTCTGAAGCTAAATTACATTTCATGTAATACAATTAGCCCCCCATGACATTTAACAACAAACAATGCTAATTCCTTTGTCTACAGTCTTTCAACTGTCCCCACCCAACCACTCTCTCCAAAAAAGGGGTGCACAGATATCAGTTTGCTCCATCTATACACAAGCAGGCGCATTTAAAGAGTGTGTTTTAAAATAAGATTTAGTGAATATGTTGCTATGTGTATCATTCTTACGGTGATGGGGCTAAAATCACACTATTGTATGAGCCACTAAATCGAAGCTTGCTGCTACAGTGACTTTGAAAAGTCTCAATTTAGGACATCTATAAGAAAATGATTAAGATATTTTATTTATGTTTTTATGACCCTTAAATTGTATATAGGCTATTTTGACAGTTGTGTAGTCAGAAACTTTAGTTCCATGGTTTTCAGACCTGGGGGATTCTAAAGATGTGTTTTTTATATTAGTGAGTATTACCATGACTTAAGCTCCTCCAATATGTATACTTTGCCAGTGTTTGTGGATTAACAAGTTTATGAAAAGGTAAAGTCAGAACAGTATTTGGGAAAAGTGTCTCCACAGTAGGTAGCACTGCTGCCTTGCAGCAAGAAGGTTCAAGGTTTGATTCCTGGCCAGGGGTCTTCTGCAGGAAGTTTTCATATTCTCCCTGTGCATGTGTGGGTTCTCTCCAGTGAGTGTGTGTGTGAATGGTTATTTGTCCTGTTTGTCTCTGTATTGCCCTGCGATGGACTGGCGACCTGTCAAGGGTGTTCCCGCCTCTCGCCCATTTACAGCTGGAGATAGGCACCAGCACCCCTTGAGACCCCAGCAGGGATAAGCATAATGGGAAATGGATGGGATGGATGGATCACTAAAGTGAGTAGAGCTTTACTTCATCATTTCCATATATTTCAATCTGGTGCCTGTGTTATTTGGGAACAAAGCTAAAAAATGGTCTTCATCCCAGATTTCTGATGGGATTCATATTGGTTGCAGGGTAAATACATGAAAAGCTTTGATGCAATAGAACTCTAGGTAAAAAGTGATGATCCATATCAGTGACAGTTGTGTAGAAGAAGGTTCCATAAAAGAAGGCAATTGTGGGAGTGTCTCCATTCTGTGTAAAGCTGATATTCACTGATGAATCACAGTTCTTACTCAGGTTGCACAGATTAGTGTTGGATTTGAATTTTTTCTGTTTGTCAGATACACAAGCATGTTTGAAGGTGTTAAATATTGTTTGAGGTTCATTAATAAAAAAAAGTAAACAGCTGTGCTGATACAACGAAGGAGGCTAAGGGGGACAGATGTGTAAATCAATCAATACATGACTGGGAGGAATGCCAACACTGCCAATAAGGCCAAGCCCCTGAAAAAATAAGAGAAAATCAAGGCAAAATGGACGGCAAAGTGCAACATTTCTATTAAGCTGACGAGGCAAAGGTTATGGTCATCAGGAATACAGAGGAACTGGACATATTCACAAGAGTGCCATGCAGAGACAGAAGGTGACATTAACTCACAAGCAGGATGACAAAACCAAAACATACTGGCTTTGTGACCGAAGCATATTATCACTAGCTAAAGCCAGGCTTACACTGTACGATTTTTTGCTGTTATCTGGGCGACTTTCCAGTCGTGCGTGAATTTACCGATTGGGACGACTTTCAGCCTGATCACGCATCGTGTAGCCTCGAGGTCGCCACGAGGGGCGATCAGCCTGTCACGACCATATCCCGATCAGGAATTGTGAGGTCGGGAGAAAATTAAACATGTTTCATGGTGGGTAAATCACTCAGTATCATGCGCAAACAAGGATTCTTCTTATTCTTCTTCTTCTCAGATGAAAACACAGAAGCATGGCGGGGTGTGAGTGAAATGGAGTTCTGTCTGTAAAATTTACAGACCATAGTAGCCACATTTGCTCAGCCATCTCTTTGTCCAAATATGTTGCCCCCTTTCTTCTTAAGGCTTTCAGC